TAGGGTGGAGGGTTTTCTTACCCCTCAACCCGAAACGACTGTGGGGAAGCTCCAAGATCGAAACCCTGAGCGTCCAGGTACCCATATTGTAAGTACTTGGGCCCTAAAGCACCGAAATAGGGACTACATTGAGGCCAAAGTATATACTATGTATGAGTACATGGAACCCCCCTCTAGTAACTCTGACAGCCGCCTTTATAGCAACCCCAAACCCTCAACCCTGAACCCTAAACCCTAGCCCCTAACCCCTAAACCGACCCTAAACCCTAAACCAAAACGTTGAGGAATGCTGTCGAGGGAGTCCGTAGGACCCTGAGGGAGACCTTAAAGATGTCCATGCATCGAACACTCAAGCCGCTGAGCCGCACACCCAAATCCCCCTGCATTTAGGGTTTAGGGGTTTAGGGGTTTAGGGTTTAGGGTTTGGTTGCACCCAACGAAAGATTCTCTCTAGGGTTCCCTATTCTGTTGTACGAGAACCACCTGCACCCAGAACCCTACTTGGAGGATCGTGGGACTAAGTTGGCAAGGTAGTAGATTCCTTAATCGGGGTTCGAAGTGATTACCAGTATACTTGCCTTACTGGTAACCCTCGTTATTAAGTCCTATGATCCTTCAAGTATAGGTGCCCGAATAACTACCAACCTCGGTCTTCAGTGTTCCTTTAAGGGTTTTATTGGCATTGGGTTTATAGAGCTTCACAGTGGCCTAGGAATGATTGCCAATTCCTTACGGACCATATACTATACATAGAGGTTTCCATCAAACCCTATGTCAATTATTGAGGGCCCGGGACTACAGGTATGCATAAGCTGAGCAGGTCCGTAGAGCATGTACGAGTGCTGGTATCACTTATAGTGTGTTAAGATGCGTTCAGCAGGTATGCAGATTACTTATGACTCATGCATAGTGTCGATGGATGGTTCGGGTGCCGCATTAGAGGTTCAATGTTTTGGGTTCCAGCCACATTGCGAAGACTCTTCGTGATGCTGTTTGGTAAGTAGTTGCGGATGTTTTGCTTTCGGTGATTTGGAGTTCATACATATGCTGGCAGCGATGGTGTCCATTCTTGTGAACTACAGCACTTGCGTGGACGACTGGCCCTGCAGCACCCGAAGCCATGGCCCTGGGATTATCATTGCTTGTCACCATCGCCGGCGTAGTGCTATGCTGTTGTCGTCATCTCAGTAGTTTGCGAGTGAAGCAGACTCCGAACCTGAAGTCCTGAATCACCCTAAGTTGTGCGGTTTAGGGTTTAGAGTTTAGGGTTTAGGGCTTAGGATTTAAGGTTATAGCAACTAAGCCTCCTTGCACCCTGCTTTCTTTGAGTAGAGTGCAAGAGTTGCAGAGCATTTCTCAGGTGCTGGGCGCGGCCATGTTCATGATCAACATTGGAGGCCCTTGCATAATAGAAGGTCTGAGTCATCGACTCCCATACAGCCACCGACGCATTTGTAAGTCTACTAAGTATGCAAAGATGGAACACCAGCTTATCGTCCCCATACAACATTACCATTATTGACCACGGAACCCCATTCTTTGGATTCAGGGCCCCATAGTAGGTTCCTCGTATGAAGGTGCTAAAGGACCTCTGCTTCGCTTTATTCCGAAGCCTGGAGCCGATCCAATGTGAGGGGCTCTTGGTTTCGGGTCCAGGGGTTTTAAGGTTCAAGGGTTTAGGGTTAATATGTAGGGGTTTAGAGTTTAGGGGCTTAGGGTTCAGCGGTTTAGGGTTAGGGTAAATGATGCCCTTGGAGTGAAGGAGGGCCACAGGATGTAAGGAGGGATTCTTTCATGCCGTAGTTAGGGGTCTTTGATAGGGCGCCATGTTTTGCCAGTAGTGCTGACAGCATAGCATGTGGGACCATGCCCCAAGTCTAAGGCATTTTCATGTGGGTAGTTACCATTATAGAAGCCTTATAGAAGGTCTATATACCCTATAGAAGCCTTGTAGAAGCCCTAAATACCCTAAGCTCCCCACCTGTAGTTTCCTTTAATCCAAGTAGATTCTTCGAAGTTGCCCGATGCTCCGACTACATACTGAACCAGACCTCGGTCCTGACTCCTGACTTGTATTATCCAGGTCTGAATTGAATCTGTAGCAATGACAGTATCCCGTTATAGTCTCTATACCTATAGTCCCATTGACGAACTCTAATCTTCAAGGATATCTGCCATATCACGCGATCCCAGACCTCCACAAAAAAGAAAAACCTAGACAGGAGTAGAGCCTCTAGCAGTACTCTATACTGCTAAAGTGTAATGCCTGCAAGGGACCTACCTCTTTAGATCCTCCCAGGGTTGTGAGTCTAAGGAGCCTGCTGGTAACAGTAGCCCCTCATAACTTGATAGAATCTGAGTAACCCTTCAAAAGGCGCTTGCAGAACCCTGATAGTACGCTGTGGCGCACATACGACATTAGCCAGGCTTTTTTCAGGCGCAAGCCCAAAATCCTAACGCGAGGATCCTATTGTGGCTGACAACGGACGGTATCAACACGTACAGTCAGCTCTTTTTTCGCCTTGCCTCCGCCCCAGACCTAGTAGACAAGCTTGGACGACTTTTGGACGCAATGGCTCCGAAAGCGTCAGTTCAGCAGTCAACCGGCTCATCTTCGAATCTGGCACCTTCGTTGTTTCGGAGCTTCGCAAAGTTGAAGGTCCAGCTCACAGCCTTTCAACACAGGAGACCCACACAAAAGCTTTTAAAGACTGCAGATCATAAGCCCTACACTCCAGTTTACAAGAAGATTCAGGACTGTAGATCTTAAGCCCTAAAATCCGAGCAAAACGATTCCAGGTTGCAGACCTTGAGCCCTAAACTGCCTACTGGAGGCATCCGGGTACTCTACACTGGAGACTACAGCCGAGAGGAAGACCGGCATCTTCCACAGGCCTTGTGTTATGTAGAAGCTTTTCTTCAGATTTGCAGCTCAGGGTTACGGAATAACCCATCCCATAAAGTTCCTCACTAGTATTCCTTAGGGCTCCCCTTTGGAATCCTAGGGTTTTGGATTGCATCCTTTTATTCACTTGTGGGTTGCCTTTCCGTGTTTTTGAGCACTGTATGTCTAAAGCGTTTAGATGTTCGGGCGCATGTTTCTGTTGGAAAAGACCTAAGACTGGTATATTTGGGGGTTCTGTGGGACACACAAAACCTGACTAGAAGGTTCGGTTATAGAAGCCCTATTTTGTACCATGTAGGCACTTAATTAGGGCCTTTTGGGATGCGAAACTATCCTGAAACCGTTGAAGACAGGAAGCTAGGTCTTGCTTGGTTGAGGCTCCAGGATTGTGGTTTAGTGTTCAGGCCTCAGGGTTTAGGTTTTAGGGCTTTAGAGCTTTAGGGTTTAGGGTTTACCGCTTTAGGGCTTTAGGGTTTAGGGCTTTAGGGTTTAGGGTTTAGCGTATCATATGTGATCTGATCGCAGGCTTGGAGAAGTCGATTCGATGGGTGTTTGCTCCTGTTAAGTGCTCATCAAGCACAGGAGTGTGCTGTTCAGGGTCTCGGGCTTAGGGCGGTTTAGGGTTTAGGGAGTAACTTTTCAGGGTCTAGGTCTAGGTTAGCATGATTCAGCTTCTGGGGCTCTGACATAGCACAATCTGGCTTCCATCGGCAAAAGACCGTGAGCAGTTCAGGCCTGGGGGTGTAGGGAGACTTAGCACAAAGTGTCCTCCGGTATATACTTTGCCAGTCTCAGGTCCTTAGTATGTCGACAAAGACCCCATGCCTGAAGCACCAACCACCACAAGCCTTGAAAAGCCGCAAGTATGATCCCATGAGCCTATAGCTACGGAGCCGACCAACAGCTTCCCCGGACGTGATGCTTAGTACCTCCGAGGCCTTACTTGTACCAATCTGCCGAGAAATCTCTCAACACGATGACATCCAGAACCCTAAAGCCTTTGACCGCAAAGCCCTCAATCGCTAAAATATCCGATACCGTGAGCCTTTTGCTGGCCATGGCTTCCATGAACGGGCTCCGGGCGTTCCGCCGCTGCATTGTGGGCCAGCGCGGCCTCCGTGTGCGCGCGGCCGTGGCAGCCACTCGGAGAGTACAGCGAGGGGTTGACGCTGGGCTGTTTGCGATTTCGAGTTTTATAAGCAAAGCTGCTCCTGTCACATGACTTTTTGAGCAGTCTTCAGCCTAGGCTTTCCGTCTATAATCGTGCAAGCAGAACACAGCAGCCAGGAATCATGAGTCAGTGGAATCTTGAGGCCTCTGACTCTGTCACGAAAAAGATATTGAGTTGTCCGGTCAAGCGATTCCCTGGAAGCAGCCTTGCAGCTTCACATAATCAGTGAGCCTGCCATTGAAATTGAAGCGCCGAGGATACGCAATTATATATAGAATCACAACATGTGCATGCGCACATACATACATGCATACATACGTACGTAAACGCATACATACCTGCACACATATGTCCATGCATTCACATATATACATACATAATTAAATGCATGCATGCAGTGAAATGTATCGTAAAGTCGTAAAGTAAAGTGATGCTATGTGTCGCTTTAGTGTGTTATTATTGTGTTATACTCTATTTTGTTATGATGTGCCATGTTATGGCTTGTTATGCCATGGCTGTTATGAATTGTTGTAATGTTACGTTGTGTTGCGCACACATCTATATGCATGTGTGTATAGTTCGACAGCTGGATAGGATAGATAGCTCGTTGCACCGATCGATAGATAGACGGATGGAAAGATGAAAGGTCCTGAAAGATCGATATCGATAGACAGATATATAGAAATAGATAGAGATAGATAGATAGATGGGCCGCAGCCCGCAGACCTTTTGGAGGACATGAAATCGGCTATCCGCGCTTTTTGGAGCCACGAAGTAGTCCGAAAGGGTTGGAAATTTTGCCCTGATCCTTTCGCCCAAACACACCTGAAGCCCGATTTTCACAACCCGCAAGCCCCAACCTCTTCATTATGACATGTTATGACCCGCAGAACACTTCCATAAGAGCCCCATAGTGAGCTCAAGGCGCCCGCAATTGGTTGCCTCGCGCTCCCCAGTGTCTTCCTGGCCGGTGGTGCTTCGGGTCGCTGCAGCCCCGTGCGTTGCGCGTGGGGGCCCAGCGACACTGTCCCTGTGTACTAGCCTGTGAGGCCAAAGTGCATACCATAGAGGTGCATGGCTCCTTAGAATGCTTGGGCGTTACATGTGTTCAAAGGACTGCCGGCGTAAACTATAGGAACCCTCGTATAGCCTTACCGTCCGGTGCCAGCCCTATATACCCAGGATGCGTTCCAGGAGCTACAAATATACATGTGGTGGGAAACTTCATCGGGCTTCCTGTTGCCACCCCTGTTTGGGAGTTTTTGGTGTTGGGTGTTGCACGGTTTTGCAAAGGCCGTTTAGGGTTTCGGGGGCTTGAAGGCTTAGGATTTATGGGCTTAGGGACCTATCACGGCCTTGCAAGTTTTGTTGCAGGTTTGGATGAGGCCTTAGATTGTGTACAGTGTAGTGCTTCTCTTCGCGACTTTCGGACCTTCAAGCAGATTCCTGACAGCATTAATGTAGCAACCCAAGTTCAACTTCAACAGTATTCCTTAGTGTTAAGAGTTGGGGACCATGGCCTGAACGCTTTGCACACAGAGGGTCTTGGTGGTTGAGGGTTTAGGGTTTTAGGGTTTAGGGTTTGAGGGTTTACGGTTTAGGGTTTGAGGTGTTCACCGTCAGATTTGGCCACATGAAGACTTCTTAGTACATGTTGGTCAATCTCCCTCTGGACAAGTAGCAGACAGTAGGGGTCAGCATAATTGGTAACGGTCATATACAGGTCGAAATAGTTACCAGTATTATTCCTTAGGGGTGCCTTATTCCCAAGTATACCAGAATATACCCCGAAACCCTATTCTAAGTATTAAGGCCCCTATATTCCCCCGCAGTGGCCCCCATTGAAACAATTCAGGCTCCCATACTATCCTGCGGATGGACGCGGTCTGCACGCCCATCTCCACAGAATCTTGACCCAAGGCCTGAACTCCACATTTAAGACAAGCCTCTTGAACCATCTTGACCCAAGCAACTTGAAGATTTGAACCCCCCCCAATTCCCCAAAATCGATGGCTTCAGAGCCAAGCAGATACTGGAATTGGAGCGACCACATCCAAACTCTACGCACTCTTTTACCTTAAGGTTTGAGGCCTTCGCCAGTTCAAGACCCTAAACCCTAAACCCCGAAACCCCTAAACCTCTAAACCCGCGAACTCCTGAACCCTTAAACCCTAAACCCTGAACCCAAGTATCTGCCGGAGGCGAGCAGCAATGAGCCTGGCGTAGTACGCGGCATCCTGCGCGTGGTGCCTCGGAAGGGAACGGGTTCTTGCCCTGAGCTTCGTCGCTGAATGAGTACACTGTGCAATTTGGGGATGGCGGAAACCATTCTAGCCGGTAACAAGAATATGAGTGTGATTAACCCTATCGAATTCAAGATCCCCAAAGTCCCCTTGGTTCCCCGCTTTGTTTATTTTATGTTGCAGAGCCCTCTGTCTTGTCTTAAAAGCAGCTAGTCTACTTATTGCCGCTGCTAAACCCAAAACGCTGAGAACATTTGTCAAAGAGCCCTTAAGTAGCCCTTTCAGGATCTGCAACCCTGCCTACAGTCTCCATTGTAGTTCCTTTTTGGGGTTACCTTTTAGGATCCTTAATATAGATTTGGTTAAACCCAAAAAAGGAACTACAATGGAGACTATAGGTGTAATGCTGACATCTGCCGGGATCCCTCCGAAGGTGCCCTACGGCGTTCTCGGGAGCAGCGGCTCGCTAGAAAGCAAAGCGGGCATGTGCATGTCTGTATAGCTCTGTGTATCTACCTACCTATCTATCCATCTATCTGCCTACCTAGCTAGCTATCCATCTAGCTATGTGTCTATCTATCGATCCATCGATCCATCCATCGATCTATCTGTCTATCTATGTGTATATATATATATATCTCTCTCTCTCTCTCTCTCGCTCTCTCTCTCAATCAATGTGCATGATGGGGTTCAGGGCTTATAAATAGTTATACATATGTGTATATATATATATGTACATATAGATGTCTTGCTGATAGGGTTCAGGGTTTGCACTTGCACGGGGGTTGGAGCTGTTTGTTTGGCTGTGATTCAGTGTGGGGGCGGTTTGAATTATCAGGATCCTATTGCATCGGATGTCGGTTCGCATCTTTACTGAAACTTTAGGCTTAGACTCCAAAAGCTTAATTCTAAACCCGAGGTCCCTGGGTCCTCGTGTAATGTGGGAAGCTTTGTTGGATAGCAGCAAGCCTGACCTTTGGCGTAAGTTGTAGAAGTTGAGTTTGGGGTTTACGTTTGGGGCTTCCGTTCTTCGGTTTGGGGTCCGCGGTAGGTGTGGCAGACGTTGCGAACGCGATACATCTTGACCTTGGGTCCTTAGGATACGCCCTTTCAACCCGACACCTCGAAAACCCCTCGAAGCCCTAAACCCCAGCAGCCTCAAGCCTCGAATCTTAGGGTGCTTGCAAAAGCAAAGCGAAAAGGCTTAGGATTGAGGCCCCAGCAATTGCGGTTTAGGACCCAAGCTTCAGGATTTGCATAGGGTTTAGGGCTTGGGGCTGGCATTGGCCCTTCTACTGCCGATCTCCTGGGATTCCGCTTCAACCTTCATTTGTGAGTATGTTTCCTGTGTGTTTAGTAACCCAGTCCTTCCAACATCCTCTAATCGAGAGAAACCCCCGAGGCAGCGCAGGGGCCAAGGCCCCAGCGCCGGATGCCACGACCGCCTTCGTGGATCCCGCTGGCATGCACCACATCCAGGCCTAGAAGAACCCCCCCTCCAAAAGAAGCAATGTATTGAAATGAGTTATGTCCTGTGTGTGTGTGTTTATATGATGTGTACACATATAGATTTTTTCTGTATATATGTATATAAGCGTTTGCTCTAGCACATAACACATATGGATGCATATATTTCCTTAATTATTATTATATATATGTATATATATATATGTATGTATGTATGTATTTATTTATTTATCTATGTATCTACTTAATTATTTTTGTACACACATATGAAAACAATACATACTATGTTCGAGCACATGCCGTTTGCATATAAACATCACAACAACAGCAGCAACAACAGCCAACTTAGCAATAGTAGTACTTCATCATCCACATCATAGGAAATGACACGAACAGCGGTCGTAACACATGGGACTACCACAAAATCAAGCGCTAATCATAACGATCGTAGTGCGAATGGCGTTAGCTCATGTCAGAAACGACACAATGAACCCAACTAAGCAAGGAAAGCAGCCCTTCAGAAGAGCGATATGAAAGGTTGTAAGAACTATCAATCAAGGTGTACTCAGGGTTTGTTTTTTGTGTTGTGCGTTATGTGGTGGGCTTGTCGTCTCTCTAGGGTAGGGTGTACTTCTGTTTAGATGCTTCAGCATTGTTGAGACTTCGGATACATTCACGCCTCAAAGTCTAAGCGCCTTGTCCCCAGAGTAAAACCTTGGCCCGGGACTCTCTATCTGGTACCTGGCTACGGGCATCTATTGGCGTATGCATTTGGACAGTTTGGGAAGCGGGCTGTGGGAAGGGGCAGAGGCCTGCATGAAGGCAACATCCCCCTCTACGTAGACATACGTAGATTCAAGTCTTTTTTCTCATAGTTGAAGGATTGCAGTCCCCTCCTGAGCCCTTGTATGTAAGCTTTATTTATGCTCACCCTCAACCCTGACCCCAAACGCCCAATACCCCCTCAGCCCGTGTTTGCAAACCCTCACGCAAGCCCTTACTAAAGCCCCAAATTTCTGACTTCAAATCCCGAAGCAGAGCCTTCGACACACCGCAGTGCTATGGCAGGGCTCTCCAGGGAACGCCGGAGGAGCCGCCGGTGTGATCTACAAGTCTTTGAGCTCAAGGAGATTAAGGCTGCTTCAGGGTTTAGGGTGTAAGGCTTTAGGGCTTAGGGTGTAAGGCTTTAGGGCTTAAGGCTTAAGGGTTTAGGGTCTAAGGCTTTAGGCGTAGTATAGGATATAACCCTTGATGGAGTTCTCGATTAAAGGATATTCTTAGGGTCCTTGATAGACGGTATAGAAGCCAAAATAGGCTTGGGGTCTTAGTACGGGAATGGCAGATGGCAGCCTCAAGTTCAGGCTTTTGGGTTCAAAGTTAGGGTATCTAGGTTAGGCTTTAGGGGAAAACCCTTGGGTTGTAAGTTTGGCTTTTGACTGTGAAGTTTTAGAGGGTTTGGGTTTGCACATTAAACGTTAGTTTGAATTTGAGCATGTTCGATCTATCCCGGCAACTAAAGGAATATGTAAATTGCTGAGGTCTTGTGCAGCTTCCCGTGGCTAGTTCTGGAGATGAGGGTCGCTCCTTTGATCCTCCACAGGGTTTGGCAGGCGTACAATAGGGACCCTCGGCCCTAGAAGCGACCTTGTCTCTCTGGTTCTTAGGAGGGAATGGGGGAATGGATCCCTATGATAGCCCCTTAAGGTCCTCTATAGTAGTCCCAATAACCCATTCCCCCGGTCCCTACTAAGAACCAGAGAGTTGCTGAAAAATCCCGTATGTTGAGTGAAACAGGTCAGGCTTGGGGTTTGCATTTAGGGATTTAGGATTCAAGGATTTAGGGTTTTAGAGTTTAGAGCTTTAGGGGTTTAGGGATTTAGGGATTTAGGGGTTTAGGGCTTTAGGGGTTTAGGGATTTAGGGTTTTAGGGTTTAGGGTTTAGGATGCAGGGTCTACTGTAAAGAGTTCAGAGCCTGACAGCTGTGGGGCTGTCAGGCTTTTGGTCGAGTTCACGGTTCCGGTTCTTGTTTTTCGATGCCTCGGGTTGTTGAGATTTAGGCTTAGGCACGGATGATAATATCAATCCTGCATCACCCATAGTAAGGAATATACCATAATACCCACAGCTTAGGGTCCTTAAGTTAATGCAGGATTTTCATCATCGACAGTAGTTTAGGATTTTGGGTGTATGCTTCAGGTTCAGGGTTTAGGGTTTAGGGTTCAGGCTTGGGGTTTCAGGCATTGGAGTCTTCGGGAACGCCGAGCCAGCAGCAAGTCGGCTTGATGCTGCCGAGGCTTCGGTGGCTCTCTGAAACTATGCCTTAGCCTTCTTCATGTCTTGCGCATTTGGTACCGCAGCGGGACAAACCGGAGCATCATCCATGATCAAGAATGCACCGCACTCCCATAGTTTAGAGTCTAGAGTACCTTATGAGGTTGTGGAGGCGTTTGTCCATCAACGACGTGGCCATGGCACTTGCCTGCCAGATCCTGTGGCTCTGTGAATTTCTCCGACTCGCCTTCGGCTCTGCTCCTCACCCATGTCCCGCCGACTCGACCCAAGATGCAGCTTGCATGGTATCAGAAGTATCAACTCCAAAGCTCTTGCCACACAAGCTGGAGTGTGACGATCAGTTCTGGCAAGTTCTTGATGCAATCCATCCTTTATCCTTGGCCCTCTCGTCTTGGGCCTCCTCCTGCGAGGAGGAGCTTCGAGAGGATTGCCAGGAGAAGTCGCAAGAGGCAGCGTTTCTGTTTGCCTGTGCGAAGGCGGCTCTGGCCTTGAAAATCCCTCTTCATCAAAGGTCCGCTTTGCTCTTGCTGCGCCATGCTGCTGGCCTAGCTGCAGACTCGACTTGGACAGGGCACCGCTCTCATGAAGAAGTCCTGCCATGCTTGCATCCGGCCAATGAAACGAGCAGAAGCTTTGATCAAGACTTGCTGGACACGGAGTTGAAGCAGGGGAGGCAGTGCCGTGGAGGCAGTTGCAGGGAACAGTGCGGGCTTCTCGTGCTCGACGATGGCCTGCATGATTCTGAGATCAGGGACCTAGTGCGTCATGCAGAGATCATCAAAGACCTGCATGGCACGCGAGACCCGGACACAAACAAGCTGGATATCGACCTCCACCTCTCTGCCCATCATCGGCAGGGAGAGGGACATTTGCTGTTCCTGTACGTGCTGGAAAAACTGCGAAGATTGATTGCACTAGCTGCCAACGTTCCCCCTTCGTGGGTTTCTTTCGCTTCGCACTTCCTTAGCCACCTGTTTTCGGATGAAAGTCCACCCTCGAAGGGAACGATACACTGTGACGAAAGCAGCTTCGATCGATTTCACTATTCTGCTGTGCTATGGCTGACAGCACAGAACTCAACCACAGGTGGAGAAGTTCAGTTCTATGATAGCGAGAAGCGGAATTGGAGGGTTACCGTGCAGCCGATACCTGGGAGACTGGCGATTTTCACTTCAGGTTGGGAAAACATCCACCGTGTCACTCCGCTTCTCGTTGGTGAGCGATGGTCGCTCCCTGTTTTTGCTTCCGTGAAAGCACCTCTGAACACCACTCGCATTTCAAAGGCTTGCCTGTGGCCAGCTAGCAGCAAGCAGTGGGAATATTGCCAAGATCGCATGGACCAGTGGCTGAACGCCCCTGAGGAGGATTTCAGCTGAAACTCACCGGCGCGCTGTCATTGTGATGGCTGTGAAGCCAAAAAGACCGATGCGAGGAGGCGAAAATAGCTTAACAAGCGCCGACCCGTAAATCTTGCAGTGGGCCCAGTCAGACAGTCTCTGCTTTATGCTGTCCACACCCTGCTCCGTCCTTCATACGTCGCTTCTAAACCCCAATCCCCATCACCGGAGACACTAAAGCCATGAAACACAATGAACCCTGCAGGTTTTCACCAACATGTCGAGAGAAGCCTTCCATATGCTTTGCAACCTAGGCTAAAGCGTATATGAAACGGAAGCACCACACACTCAAAACTGACACTGACACTATGCAAGCCCCTAGCTGGCCCTATGGTATACATGACGAGCTTAACCGCCGCGATAAAGGATCACTGCACAAAACTCTCAAAACATATACCCTAGACCATGCTAGAGCTACTTCGACGGCTTGTGCTTCAATCCTATAAAACCCTAAAGCCCCAAGCTCTAACTAAAACCTAAAGCCCCCTAAAGCTCTGAAGTCCTCAAAACCTAAAGCCCGAAAGCCCTCAAAACCCCAAAACCCTAAAAACCCTAAGAACCCTAAAAACCCTAAGAACCCTAAAAACCCTAAAAGCCCTAAAAGCCCTAAGTACTCTAAGCCCTAAAGCCCTCTTGGCCCTAAGCCCAGGTGGCTCGGAATCTCGGATGCGCCGACGTTCCCGGCGCCCGTGGTTCAGGCGATCACGGCACCTCTGAAGGCCTGGTCCGAGACTCCCCAGCTTCCCTAAAGGTCGTTTAGGGTTTCGGGTTCTGGTTTGGGTTGTAGGGTTTAGGGCTTAGGGTTCTGGTTTGGGTTTAAGGGTTTAGTGCTCTATGCTTCCCTAAGGGTCCAAAGGACCCAATAATCCAGTACTTTGGTTACGGATAGTAGAAACCTACCGTTATAGTTGGGATAGTACATGACCATTAGGTACTTGGACCCTTGGGCTTAGTTTTAGGGTTTTGGGTTTTGGGGCTTTCGGACTTTTAGGGTTTCGGACTTTAGGGTTTTAGGGTTTAGGGTTTAGGGTGCTGGTTTAGCTTTAGTTAAGGGTTTAGGGCCTTAGTATTTGGGTTTTAGGGTTCTAAAGCCTTGTAATATATGGGGGGGGGGGGGGGGTACTGGCCCAATTCATCATACTACGTCCTACTATAGAAACCCTACTCTCTAACATGTAACAATATAGGTACTTAGGAGAGTTTTGGATAGAACAAAAAGGAATGGAATTATGTGTGTATATATATACACAGCATGTATGAATGTGTACAGATATTGCTTTATTGATTTGTGGTTGGGGATATATTGGTCTATTGTTCGTTATTCTGATTCGGATTCAAGCTAACATGTATATGTATCCTTATGTGTGCATTTTAGCTTGTATGTAAATTAGTATCTATATGTCTATATCTGTATATAGCTGTATGTATGCATACATACATAACATACATACATACATACATACATACATACATACATACATACATACATACATACATACATACATACATACACACATACATACATACATACATACATACATGCATGCATTAATGCATACATGCATACATGCATACATACATGCATCCATCCATTCTTGCATGCATGCATGCATGCATGCATGCATGTATATATATATATATACATACATACATACATACATACATACATACATACATACATACATATGGGTGTGTGTGTCACATACGTATATATACAAATGTAGATAGATAGATAGATAGATAGATAGATATGCATGTATCTATGTGTATATGTATGTGCATATGTATATGTATATGTATATGTATATGTATATGTATATATGTATATGTTAATGTATATGTATATGTATATGTATCTGTATGTGTATACATATACGTATATGTATATGTATATGTATATAAATGTGTGTATGTATATATATATGTATATATATATATATATGTTTGTGTACGTGTTTGCGCGTGTACTCGTTCAGGCACTCATTCATTCACTCATTAATTCAGTCATTCATTCCTCGTTCGTCCGTTCATCCGTACATTCATTCATGTATTCGTTCATCCGTTCGTTCACTCATTTGCTCACTCATTCAGTCAGTCGTGCACCCATGCATGAATGAAAACTGATTCATTCGTTCATTCATTCATACATTTATTCATCATTCGCCCATTCATTCACGCATTTCATTTCTTCTTGAGATGGGTTCAGTCATGAGGCCATTCAATCATTCATTCTTTCTATCTTTCACTAGTTCAATCATTCTTTCGTTCTTTCATTCCTGTGGGTATAGATTTAGACAGAGATAGATAGAGAAGTTAAAGCGAGAGAGAGAGAGCGAGAGTGTCACATAACGGCATACATGTCGAGAGAAAGTGGCGCACACCCACAGACACACACACACACAGACACACAGACACAGATATA